GTCTCCGTGTCTCTTTTTCTCCCTCTCTCTCTCTCTCGTTCCCTTTCTCTCCCTCCCTCTCTCTTGCCGGGTTTTGAGCTGTGCTCAGGCTCGCCTCTGCTGCTCGGCGCGACCTCCTGTTGCGCGTTGCGCACTGCGGTGCAGACCGAGAGACCCGCGGCGCCCAGATGCGGGTGTGGATCGACGACTGGCCCACGCGGTTCCAGCCGAGGCGGGGCGCCGCCGTAAGCCTTCTGGGGCGGGGGGGGGGGGGCAGCGTTCTCGGGGGGGGCGGGGCGAGGAGGGAGGTCGAGGAGGACGAGGGTCTGGGGGGGGAGGAGGAGGAGGAGGAGGAGGAGGAGGAGGAGGAGGAGGAGGAGGAGGAGGAGGAGGCCAATGCGTCAGTTCCTGGAGGCTCTCCTGCCTCGGGACGCGTTCCAGCAGCGGCGCTCCGCCGGGAGGTTCCGGGGGATGCCCAGGTCGTCCCGAACGACCGCCAGAGACCCGAGTCGCGATGACCCGAAAACAGGCGTGGAGGATCACTGGGGCAGACAGGCTCAGGGGGGGATGCGTCGATCCCCAATCTTCCATTCATCGCCGATAGGGGCCCGATACCCCACCCCCGCCCAGGAGCGTGCAGAGTCGCTGAGTATCGGCGGCGTGTCGCCGCTCTATCCGCGATGCATCTCTGATGCCAGCTCGATGTTCCTCCCCCCCTGAGCCGGTCCCCCATGACGTTGCCTCTCCTCTCTGGGTCGGAAGCGAAAGTCTTCAGGGTCGTTGTCGAGAGTATGGCATCGGTGGCAGAAGTAAGGCAGGGCTCACATCTCCTTAGAGCCTCTGCGTGGATCCCGTTTTCGGTCGCCGTTGGGCCCGGGTTTGTGCGTGTTTGCCCTCTTCCCACCTCTTCTTGCTGCTGCTGCTGCTGATGATGTTGCTCCTCCTCCTCCTCCTTCTCCTCCTCGTCCTCCTCCTCCTCCACCTCCTCCTCCTCCTCCTCCCCGTCCTCCCCGTCTTCCTCCCCTCCAGATGCAGAGACAGTGCGAGCAGGAGAAGGAGGTGGGGCGGAGGAGTCGGAGGAGGGGGAGGGCCTTCGCGCGCTCCGCGCGAGCGCCCATGCAGCATCCGCGTATGGAGACGAGGTATAGCAAGAAAACCGAGTAGGACGATGAGGGCGAGCCGGACTGAGGCGGACGGAGGAAAGCCAAACTGTGTGCGTATTGCGTTGTTGTCCAGCGGCATCGTTCGTGGCGTCCTGTTCCATCGCGGCTTTGTGTGCCGCGGGAGAAGGAGGAGGAGGGGGGGGGAGAGGGGGAGGAGTGGAAGTGGCAGGAGAGAGAGAAGGGGGAATAATGGAAGCGGACGGGAATGACGAATTGGAGAACGATGGCGGGGACAATAATCGGATGAGGTGGAGGGGGAGCTGAGGAAGGGTAGGTATCGAATGGCCCTCGGCCCATCCTGCCACCGTGCCTGGGTTGTGGATATGAAGCCTATTGGATGTTCGTTGGGATCTCGTGGGAGGCCTCTGGGGGGCCTCTTGGAGGCAGTTTGGAGGCCTCTCGGTGGCCATTTTGGGGCCTCTTGGGGCCTCTTGGGGGCCTCTTGGGGGCCTCCTGGGGCCTCCTGGGCGCCTTTTGGGGCCTCCTGGAGGGTTCTTGGGGCGGAAGGCTTGATTGTCGGTTCGTGCTCCCTCCTTCTCTTGGGCCCCGTTTGGGGTTGTCTTGGGGCCCTCTTAGGTCGCTTTGGGCGCCCCTTGGGCCGTGTTGGGGCGCTCTTAGGCCACCTTGGGCCCTCTTGGAGGCCTCTTTGGCAATTTTGGGGTGATCTTGGGGGGCTCTTGGGCCGTCTTGGAGCGTCATGCGAGACCGCCAACACCCTTCAAGCAAAGGGAAATACATGATTGTTGCCTCTTGGGGCCCTCTTGTGGAGGCCACTTGGGGTGGAGGCCTCTTGTGCCATCTTGAGGCCATCTTGGGCGTCTTGGAGCGATCTTTCGGCGACATGTGGCCGTCTTGGCGGCCTCTTTGAGCCCTCTTGGCCCGTCTTCGGGCCCTCTTGGACTCCAAAGTCACGTGGATGCGTGAACGATAATGAAATGCACCCTCCCGTCTCGCGTCCCTTTCTCATAAGACCCATACGAGAATCCCTTCTCACTGCTGGCAGCACCCCTTGAAAGACAAAAGCGCTCCAGGGGCCTGCCACCCAGAAGCGAGAGCACCGCTTGAAGAGCGATTGCCCCGCATCCTTTGAGCTGTAATGGGTGTATGGCCTCGCGCGCTCCCTGCCAGACCGGTGCCTGCACGAGCAACGGTTTGGCGGACCAGCCGGATTGGCGGTGCGTCAGTCGCGTGTTGCCCGCGACGAGTGGGGCTGCATCTTTCGGTCAGCCCACGAGGAGGAGGAGGAGGAGGAGGAGGAGGAGGAGGAGGAGGAGGAGCGAGGAGCGAGGAGCGAGGAGGAGGAGGAGGAGGAGGAGGAGGAGGAGCGAGGAGCAAGGAGCGAGGAGCGAGGAGCGAGGAGCGTGGCGGGCGAGTCACAGACCCTCGTGGGGCCGCTGTCATCACAGCGCGTGCCGCGGCCCACGCCGGCTCAGAGAGATTGGCGGCCCTGGGCTGCCAATCTCTCTCGCGGCTCCCGCCCCGCAGGCCGCGGCCCCCCTTTAGGCAGCAGCCCTCCTCCTCCTCCTCCTCCTCCTCCTCCTCCTCCTCCTCCTCCTCCTCGTCCTCCTCCTCCTCCTCCTCCTCCTCGTCCTCGTCCTCCTCCTCCTCCCACGGATAGGCGGGGGGGCCGAGGACGAGGCGTGCGGAGGCGGCACACGACGACAACGATCTGTGCTTTTCGCTTGTTGTGCTCGACGGAAAGAGCACGCGCCACAGAACACGCTTCCCATCGAGCACAGCAGGAGAAAAACATAGATGGTTGGGCCTTCGGCTTGATCAGGGCCGCACAGGCCGGCACCCTTACGGGAATGCGACCTTGCGCCAAAGCATACCCCGAGGGCCTTGAAGCAAGAAGCACCCTTGGGAATTTTACAGCTCCAGAGCTTGGCGGCGCAGCTGGCGCGGCAGGCCATCACGGAAGAAATCGAGGACTTGCCTTCCAAGGTAGGTGAAGGTCAGGAGGCGGCCACCCACGCTGACCACGCTGAAGCGGCGACGTCCTCGCAACAGCGAGACACCTGCGGTCATGCAGACCAAGAGCGGGGACGGCACGGACAAGCAAGACCAGATGGTTCAAGCTCTCGGGGCGCTCTGTGTGCGGATGTTCCAGGCACCGCCGGTCCAGGGCCGCAGCGCCGACGACAGAACGACAATGCTGAGAGGAAGAACGTCGATACGGTTTTGGTTCTTATTGGTGGGATAGAACCCCCGACGAGGTGATGGGTTTGGCTCAAAACCCGAGCGCCCAGCGCGCGGCCTGCGGCCAGGCGGGCGCGCGCGATCGGGGAGACGGACAGGCAAGAACGCTCTCGATCCCCAGCTTGGCACAGGCGAGCGAGAAGGACAAGAGCTTCTGCAAGAAGGCTGTTTCCGGCTAAGGTGAACAAGATCCCCCAGGGACACCACGGGAGCATGGCGCCGCAGGGTTGTCAGCGAGGCAGCGCTGCAGAGTCATTCGCGAGCTGCTATACCTGGGTGCGCCATGGTAAGATACTTGGGAAGGCTTGGAAGGAATGATTCCACTGCAGGCACTGCAAGGTCACCTTCGACACACTGCGGGCAGCCAAAGCCAACAGGACAGCTACCAGCAGAGCTACGACAAGAACTACGACAATAACTACGGCAGCGGCTACGGCGGATTCAAGAAGCAGCGGCAAGGTGGCCAGAAGGCGGAGACCAAAGAACGCTCCTAGGCGCTGATCGTGATCGCGGAGAAGATGGGCGGCACGGAACTGGCAGACGCAGCGCATCGAGGCAACCAGCTCAAGGGCTTCCCGGCCAAACTCGAGGCGCAGGCCGACCCGCCGAAAGTGATGACCCGTCCAGAGAGGATGGCTGAAGCTGCGGAAGCACTGAGGGTCGCGATCAAGCGCTGCACGACAGTGGCCACGCAGTGACCACGCAGTTGAAGAAGCAAAGAGAGATGCTGTTCGAACGGGAGGAGAAGCTGGTGGAGAAGGCTGCCGAGGTCGCGAAGCAAGAGGCGCTCTGCGAGAAGACCCACAGCGAAGGCAATGTCCAGCAGCAGAGCTTCATGGAGCAGCTGATCTTCAGAAACCCAGAGCAGCTGGCGCTGGACGGCATCATTCGCCTGGAGAAGGAGCTGGGACTGGATGACGAGGAGGTGGGCGAGGCCGCCAAGAAGGCGGCCGAGGAGGCCAAAATGAATGTGCTGAGGGAACTGCGACAAGGGGCGATGAGCTACACCACCCAGCTCCAGGAGCACATCAGCAAGGCGAAGGAGCTAGCGGCGAATAGCAAGGAGGCCACCAGGCAGAACGCCAAGAAAAGGAGCATCGACGACCACGAGGCCAAGAAGGTGGCGGGCAGGATGCCCCCACCGCCCGCGGCGGCACCAGTAGCACCGGGCGGGGGCCAGAACGGCGACCAGATGGCAGACGACACCAAGAGGGACGTGGACATGGGGGAGGAGGCGCTCAAGAAGACCAAGGCAAAGGTGGCCGACGGGACTGCCGCGCCCGCGCCCCCAGCCCGACGGTTGCCACCTGGTGCCCTAGGCAAAGCAATGTTCGACGCGGGCGTCAGGGTCGTCTTCGTCAGCAACATCGCGATTTGGAGGCCGACGGCGGAGTCGTGGCTTAACGGGATGCACCTTAGGATTGGAGGCAAGAAGCACAGTCGGCAAGGCTTTGATATGAATGCGGTGCCGAAGATGCATCTGCGCCTGCAAGTATCAGAGGAGCAGGAAGCGATGCTCCACAAGTGGGGCATCAAGGCGCGTCTCGCGGCAGCCCAGCAGTCAGTCAAGTCCGATGGGGGGCTCGAAAGGCGGCGCGGTTGTTGTCGCGACGAGGGCCCATTTTAAGACCGCGTTCTTCAGAGAGCTGGCAGCGCATGGTAGAGTCTCAGGAGTGACGGCAGGCAGCCGTGCCCAGTGCCACGCACGGCGTGAAGAAGACGGACAGAGCTGCTACACATGGAGGACTGGACGGCTATGGCGCGGCACCACAAGGGCCACCCCCTCACCCTCATCCCTCCGCACCTCAGATGTGACCAACCACTGATGGAAGGGGGCCAATGGCCAATGCAAGGAGATCGGCCAAGCTAGCGATGTTCACAAAGACATTGCGCGCGCCGTGGATCGTCGCAGGGGGCTTCAGTACCCACCTGGCGAGATTCGCGACGGCGGGCGACGGCGACCTGCTGGGCGACGCGCGCATTGTCACATTGACTGGAGACCTGCCGACCTGCTACAAGGCAGACGCAGAGCCCTCCCTCGTCGACCTCGCGCTCGCGAGCCCCGAGGCCCGCGCGCGCGTCGTCGACCCCGAGCCCGTCGCCGACGCCAGCTGGAGGCCGCGCCGCGGCCAGCAGCTGCGCATCAGAACGGAGATCGGGCACGGCATCGCCAGGAAATTGGAGCCGCCGACGGTCTTCTGCCACCTGAAGCTGGACACAGCAAAGCCCAGAGACGGAAGCGACAAAGGGAACGAGATTGGGCCGATTGGGAAGCACGAGCCCCACCGCAGCAGCAACAGCCCGGCCGACTGCATGACCGCGAGAAGATCGCCGACGCGCGTCGGGCAGCTATCTCTCCAATAGGGTGAACATCCCCTAGTGCCAGACGGGGTCATCAGCGGCGACCTGCTCAAAGCCCGGGGTGCGCGCCGCGAGGAACCTAGACGGCAAAATGAAGCATGGCCCTCGTTGAGGAACTCGAGGGCAAGGAAGGGGGGCCAAATGGTCGCATCGACGGCATCCTGAGGACCGCCACCGACATGGACGACCCGAGGGTGACATGGTCGTTAAGATTGAGGAGGAGTGGATGCTATACGGGGGCGTCAGGAGGAGCTACCACCTGGGCTACAACCCGTGGGAGATGCAACAATAGGGGGCGAAGTAGCGGGCCGCCTTGTGCCCGCCGCCATAGCGACCCCGCCTGCGGCCTTGGTAGCGGGCCCTGACCTGGGGCCTGGAATCGAGGCGGCAAGCCAGGTGCGAGGGATGGACAGAGTGGACCGCGCGGTGGTAGACGACGGCGAGCTGGAGCCAGAGCCAGCCAACCACGACATGGGCGACAAGAAGGACGCTGCCGATACCAACGGCATGGAAGACGCTTGGGAGACGCTTCAAGAGAGAGCGCCTGCCGCGACCTCCCCAGCCCACGGACTACATCGAGAGTTCGGCGGCCTACAGAGCTATTGAGATGGAGGCCAAGGAGATATGGGGGCACGGCGCTACCGCCTGGCCAGTGCAATGGAGGACTTCTACTGCCAGGCGTGCGACATCACGAAGAGCGACCAGGTTACGTACAAAGGCAGAGGAGAAATCTGCCGGTTCGTGGACTGCGAGCAACGTGAATCAGGCCTAAGGTGAGTCAATTTCAGCACGATGAAGATTGACTTGTGGAGCCGAAAGGCGACCGCGCTGAACACGCGCGCGACGCTAGCTAGAAAGGACAAGGCGTTGCGGCAGCGCGAGGGGCGAACGGCGAGCTGCAGGAGGCCCGGGCAAGAGGGGGCGCCATCAGCTGGCAGGCAAGCGTAGAGAACGGGAAGGCTGCACAGGAAGACCCGGGGCCCAAGAATCAGAGAAATCGAGCTGGCGGACATGGGCGCGCGAGATGGCATGGCGAAGCAGGCGATGGAGAGCCGCGTCTCGCTGGCGGCGGACATGCGACGCGGCGCTCAGGATTGCGCGGCATGGGTGGCCAACGCGGGGGCCGACGCGCCAGGGGCGCCGAATAAAATCACGAAGCCAAGGAGGAGACGCGAGGGCGATCGCATGAGGGAGGAGAAGACGACCGGCCCAAACGGAAGCATCGACTTTAAAGCAATAGACCCCAATCAGATGTGGAAGGACACGAAGACCCACGATGAGGCAGTCGATATTCTAAGGGCTCCGCGAGCGAGCCGCGCGCGCGCCGGCGCCGAGGTGGGCGCCAGAGGATTTCGACAGCGCAACGCAGGGCATCCCCAACAAAGGCCAGGGCAGAGACGCGATGAACGTGGATGGCGCGAAGCGTCTGCCAAGAGAAGCAGGGGGGCCTTCATCGACATGTTCAACAGCTGTGAACAGGAGATGGGATGACCATGGCAGACCATGCAAGCGCTGGTCATGCTACGGCCGACGGACGCGGAGAAGTTGGACAGCGCGGCCCTGGCGGGAGGTAGAGGCCGCGCCTTGGCGCTGCTCGCGTGGTTCGCGAGAGCGCGGGAGCTGCTCGACAGGAACCAGATCCGCGCGTGGACGAAGGACGTCAAGGAGGACTTCGACGCTGCCGCAGCGGGCAGTTCGTGCCTAGGGGAAGCTGCGGCAAAGGCGCTGGGAGACGAGACGTCGCAGGAGTTGGGGATCCACTCGGCCAATGTTTCGCTGACTCATTGGTCGTTGAAAGTGCAGCGCTCAGGGCGAACGCGCGCGGCTCCCCGCCCGGAGCGCCGACAACGGCGATGCTCGTGCACCTGGCCCCCCGGATGCTCAATGAAGAAACGGCGTGCAGTTTGTCCATCTACGCCATGAGGGGCTGTACTAGCAGGGCCGAGACACAGCGATGACCTCGCAAGGATGTTGATGTGCCACATGTCAGGGGCCATGAGCAGCAAGGGGCAGGCAACCCAACCGAGGACCTGCTTCGACGACATCGGATTCAGAGCTGCGGAGGGCAGGGAGAAAGTGGAGGGGGCCATCGTCAGCGCCGCGGGCGAGCTGGCGAAAGAGGCGAAGCAAGAAGGCCTCGCAATCGCGGGCAAGTCGGCCCCGTTCAGCACTAACTGCAGCTCGGCGAAGAGCGCGACCCAGGCGTTGGAGGAGCTTGGGGCCGTCATCAAGTCGGCAACCGAAGGGCGCGACCTAGGGCTCGACGGGGAGGGCAGGGGGCGCGCGAAGAGGGCCGCGCACATTGCAAGAAGGAAGTGGGCCGCGGATCCGAGGCGCATGGGGCAGCGCCGACGGAGCTGACTGAGATAAGGGGGAGATGCGCCGAGGGGCTCAAAAGGGCTTGGCTTGGAAGGTACTGAACCGCGCTGGTCGACTTCGAAGGAGCAGACCCTGGAGTCGCCATCCCCAAGTCACAGTTCCAGGCGCGGTTCGACCTATGGGCGGCGAGAGAGGACGCGCGTAGAGGAGTGCACCAGGCATGACCGCGCGTCCGAGGTCGTTGCTAAAGGCGGCAGCCGCGACGAGATGGAGCCAGAGGAGGGGGGCGGTAGCTTCCCTGGCCCTGCCGCTCTGGGAGGCCGGCTGGGTCGCGCCAACGGCCAGTTTCTCGACGGACTCAGACGATGGAGGATGGCAGCTACATGCCTACGAGGTGGAGTCACTGAAGACCTAAACTAGATTGCGCGGCGACGAGCTGCGCCATGCCACAACGGAGCTGGACTACATCGCGGGGCAGGCACACGTGACCTGAAAATGCACCAGAGGAGGCCCAGGAAAGGCGGCAACCACCAGCAATCCGGAGCACCCCTAACCGCGACGCGCGCAGGCATATGGTCACCACAGAGAGGGGAAGACGCGTTCGGAGAGAACGCCGCCAACATATGCCAGTGCGGGGCGATCGCAGACGACTTCCACATCTCTGTGGGGGGGGCGGGCTGCAGCTGCAGAAGCGATCGCAGCATCTACAGGGGGACGGAGAACCTGACCCGCAAAGCCGAGCAAGGCAAGGATGATTGGGCAGCGTTCTGGCTAAAGGAGGGCCGCTCCAAGGGCATGGGCAAAGCCGCCAGCGTGCGCCGCGGAGTACACGGCAAAAAGGACGGGCAGAGCAGGACGCATTGACAACGAGCCCAACGGTCAAACGTCAAGGCAGAGGACGGGCGAACGTTGATCTCATGTGGTGACGGCAGCGGAGGAAAGAGAGGTAACAACGGCAGGTGCAGGAGATGTGGCTGGGGCTGAGTACTGATGACATGGGTCGAGGGCGAATGGAAGCCGACCTCTGAGTGCTCGGGACCACTGCCAGGAGCAAGGCGCTCAAACAGCAGAGCGGAGATCGCGGCGTTCCTCGACGGTCGGGAGTCAGCCACAGGAGACATCACCTTCCGCAGCGACCCGGAAATCCTCTGCAAGGGCTGGAACAAGAGGCACCTCAAAAAGTGCTGCAAGAGGGGGCGCGGGGACCTGTGGAAAACGATGGGTAAGGATATGAACTACAGAGGTGGCGCAACCGTCGAGGCGCGGCACACCGAGACCCGCATGGGCACAATGGGGGCCATACAAACAAAGGAAAGGCGTTGGCGGCCTGGCACGGCAACCTAAGAGCGGATGGGATAGCGGCAGAGGCGGCGAAAACGCGCGAGATCCCAGAGGCACAGATGTGCTACTACAGCCGGGCGAGAGCAACAGCACGCATGGCGGGGGCGAGGATCACGCAGGCGACGATGGCGTGTTCGAAAGAGCGAAGCCGACGTTGGGAAGGGAAGGGAAGGGCGAAGCGAATGATAACAGATCGAGACAGGAGAAGACACAGGACAATTTCGAGCACCTGATCAAGCACGCCCCGCACCGACTGGTCAAGAAGGGTGCGCTGTGGGCGCGCCAAAGATGCCTCCGAACGGAAAGAACAAATAATGTTAGATGGCGGCAGATGGAGTGCAGAGAAGACGCTACCTGGAGGAGTACGAGACCCAAACACAAGATGGCAGCAACAGACGGCACTAGAAGGTAGGTGACGAAGGGGATGTGTCACATCCTTCCCACCAAATAGACGGGAGCCGACACGGAGAAACACTTCTGCTGGACGTTTGGTGCCACTGCGACAAAGCACCTCAGCAAGAACATGAAGGAAATTTGTACGAGCAGCCCGACTGGGAAGGCGAGCCTGCGCGCGCCCAGGACAATGCGGAAGAGTATGGATTGGGCGCCAGGCGAAAGCAGGAGGTGCACGAGGTGGAGGAGACCAAGTGTCAGACAAGGACCAGATGAGCTGGAGAGGGCTATCGACAGGTTCGAGGACCTCGCGCGCCGCGCCGAAGTCCTCGACGGAGCGGCGTGGCCGACGCCTCCTGCCGCTCGCCTCGCTCCCCACAGCCGGCAGGCTGGTGGCACATCGGGGGAGGGAACAACAACAGCAAAACAACGACGAGATGGTAGAGTGGGAGTACACCTATTTATATGACATGTACAATCAGGATGCATATGGACGGGGGAAGAGGGGTCGGGACGAACTGGGGAAGGGAAGGTCGCAGGAAGAGGGCAAGTGGGGAAGTAGGACATTCAGGGAAGGATGAGGATACGAGGGAGGAGGAAGAAGAGCGGAACTGAAGGGGGGGAAGCGAAAGATATGGCGTGGAAGAAGAGGGAGGAGGATAACCCCAAAGAGGATATCGGAACGCATCGGTTGAAGCCCCGATTTTCGCAACGTGCACCCTAGGAGGTCGAGACCACTTTCCTGAGACCCGCTCTTCGCGATGAGTCGTGGCAAGGGCCCCCAGAGGCCGACAACGGCGAAAAACCTTCCGCCGTGACCTGTGGCCCATGGCGCAAGGAAGTGTTCGGCCCTCGCCCGCGCGTTTCTGAGGTTCGGGCCGTTGAAGAACTTCCTGCAGCGGCACCCCGACATTTTCAGGGTAGTGCAGGGCCACGGCCGCAGGAGAGCCTGCTGCCTCGCCCGCTGGCCGCCGTCTTTGGTCGCCCTTCGTCGCTCGTCGGTCGCCGTCGTTGTCGTCGCCGCCGCCGCCGCCGCCGCCGCCGCCGCTGCCCTCGCCCTCGCCGTCGTCGCTTTCGCCCTCGTCGTCGTCGTCGTCGTCCTGGCCCCTCCCGTCTCCACGTCCTCCTCGCTCCTCCTCCTCCTCCTCCTCCTCCTCCTCCTCCTCCTCCTCCTCCCCTCCTCCTCCTCCTCCTCCTCCTCCTCCTCCTCCTCCTCCCCTCCTCCTCCTCCTCCTTCCTCCTCCTCCTCCTCCTCCTCTCCTCCTCCTCCCCCCCTCCTCCTCCTCCTCCTCCTCCTCCTCCTCGGGGACGCTGGGCCTCGCTGCTCCTCCCCCTCCCCCCCCTCCCCTGCCGGCTGGCCTGGCGCTTCGCCGCCGCGCCCTCGGCCCCTGCTCTTGCCGGGGGGGACGGCGAGAGGCGCCCCGAGGCTGTGTCCAACAGGGGAAACTCGGGCGGGGCTAGGACGAGGAGATTGAGAATCTAGATGTGTTTACCTGCCCAGCGGAGAGGGAACGGGGAGGCATCGGAAGCGACAGGCTTTCGCATCTTGGATATCTCGTAGTGTGACGAAAGAGGTTCTTGGTCTCTACCCGTGCCAGCGCAGCGCCCAGGTAAATCTATTCTAGAGCGTCCCGGAACGCTCTCAGAGCGTCCCGGGACGCGCTGCGAAGCCGCGGCGCCCGATGCATATTCCTGAGCCGGGGGATCCCAGAGATTCTCGATTCATCTTCGTCCGAGCTTGTCTTCGTCCTGGCTTCGTCGTGGGAAGAATCGGGGAACAAACAAGGACGTAAACATAAACCTCCGGAGCTCCGCGTGGATTTCCTGGATCGGTGCTGGGGCCACCCTGGCGGCGCCTCCAGCGCTGCTCCTGGCGCATTCCGCGCGCCACGGTGGAGGTCCAGCGCTGATCCAAGAAATCCGCGCGGACCTCCGAAAGTTTATGTCGTGCTTATGTTTGTGTTTCTGTCCTTGTTCGTGCCCCCGTGAGAGGGCAGGCGACGCGTGCGCGGGCGCATGCTTCGCCATCGCCTGGAGAGCGGCCCTGCCAGAAAGCTGGATGGGGTCGTGCGCAGCCTGGAGGCGAGAGGCCCCCATCCACGCGTGGCCACATCCCGTTTTCATCACTCGGCCCTCCTGTGGCCGCACACGCCGGCCCTCCGCATGTGCAACCAGCGCGTTGCTTCCACGTGCTCCGCAGTTCGGGGGGTGTGAGTGCAAAGCGGCGGCGGGCTCGCTGGCTGGAGCCGGCGGAAGCTCGGCAGAAGGCCTCCTCGATTCTTCCGATCCTCTTTCTTCTGGGGGGGGGGGAGCCTGGAGCGGTCCCGGGGAGGGTCGGGGGAGGGTTCCGAGGGGAGGGTCCTGGGGGCGAGGGGGCCCCTGGGACCCCCCGAAACATTCTGGGGATGCGCAAATCATTAAGAGAACGCCAGATGGGGGACCGTCCCCCTCCTGGCCGAAGCTTAACAGGGGGTAATCAGGGGGTCATGGCTACATGTTGAGGCAAGAGTGATTCTCGAGCCACTTTCCCGCCCGCGCATCATCACCTTCACCACCACCATCACCATCACCATCACCATCACCATCATCATCATCATCATCATCATCATCATCATCATCATCATCATCATCATCATCATCATCATCATCATCATCATCCGATGTTCGGCCCCGATGAAAGAGGCATGTTTTTGCAGGAGAGACAGGAAGAACCTGCGGCCCCAGAGCCCTCTCCAGGAGGCCTAAAGCAGCCGCACGGTCGCAGAGCCACTTGTCAAATGGGTCGTTATAAATATTGCCGAATGGCAGTATAAACGATCCTGTTCGAAGAGGAGGGCGTTTGCGATGACGACAGAAGGGGAATACCAAATAATGTGTGATTGGGGAAAAAGATAAGCGTGGAAACTTACTATACTTATGTTGTGTTAAGATATGCAGATATGTAATGATATGGGATGCTATGCAAATGCTAATGCTGTTGCTATGTTACAAGTGATATTGCGAATGATGCGTTGCCAGGCTCGGCTATATGATGTTGCGCTATGCTATCCGATGCTATGCCTACGCGCATCGTTCCGCGGATGATGGTTTGTAAAAAGCAGCACTACGCCTCAGACACTCAGGTCTCGTACGCTGCGCGCGCGCTGCTTTTTGGAACCTGACCCAATGGGTAATCCACAGGCGACCGTGCCGTCGCTCCTGAGCAGGACCGCGTTGGTCCTCCAGGCCCACGTATTGCACAGGATTGTATAGGCAAGCTGGGCTGTCATCAAGAAGATGATAACCTCGATGATGATGATGATGATGATGATGATGATGATGATGATGATGATGATGATGATGATGATGATGATGATGATGATGTTGTTCGAACTGCTTCTTTCGGGGTACATGTGACACCCAGGGTCGTCCTTGTTCGCAGTCATGTGGACGTGCAGAACGAGGGGCCGTAGGTGAGAGCCTGAGGGAAGGAGAGAGGGGAGAGGAGGGCAACATTTCGCGCTGGGTACGAGTCGGATGTAAGCCTCGGTCTCGTGGTCCTCTGCGGGATCCAGTGCCTCGGCCTGTGCCTCGTTTTCGATCGACGAGTCTCAGCCGCCGCCGGAAACAAGATGCCCGCCGCACGAAACTGCAGTGGGGCGGGGGGGGGCTCCCCTGGTCCACGCATTGCACCGTGGCATCGATGATGACGGTGGCAATGACGTTTATGATGTCGATGCTGATGGTGATGGTGATGACGTTACCGAGGATGATGAGGCATGATGATGAAGTTGTTCGAACCGTTTCTGCCAGTGCAGGGTCGCAGTGCCAAGCCTGCCTGTGCAATACGTATCCACGAAGCGTTGCCTGGATGCCGAAGAATTCTTGCCACAACGGCTGGAAACATCGTAACACAGTCGGAACAGTAAGTGAACATCTTCGGATGAAAAAAGCTCACCTCCCCTCCTCCTTCTCCTACTTCCTCCTCCCCCTCTCCACGAATACCCCATATGAATACTACCCTCCGATTCCCCGATATGAATGCTACTCTCCTCCTCTCCACGATTACATGTTGCGCTTTTCCGACGCATGGCGGCCCAATCAACATCTTCAGACACTGCATGCGGCAATGCTGGAATACTGTGCAACAGTATGCCCTGAATGAAACTAGCGCCATTCTCCTCCCCTCCTCCTCCCCTCCCCCCCTCCTCCGCCTCTCTTTTCTTCCGTTCGCTTTGATGAGCGCTGTCAGTAGTCCCACGCCGTGGCCCGCTCGAGCGCTTCCAGTTTGGCGCGAAGAAGAGGCGCGTGTGTCAAGCTCCCTTCTCCTGCTCCCCCCCCCTCCCCTGGTCCACGCCTTGCATAGACATACCTAGCGGTCCCACGTCGTTCCCCCTTCTGCCTCAATCAAGGAATCTGGGCAAGGAAATAGCTTTTTGTTTTCCGGAGATACTCCTGGTGTCTCGGCGGTTCGTCGTCGCCGTTTTTTCCTGACGCCTTCTCTGGGCTGTTGTTCGGCGGTCATCGGCGGTCTGTGGCGCTCTGACCTGGCCCTCGGAGCCATCAATATCTTGTACTGCAATAGTCGACGCGTCCGTCGGCCTCCTTAAAGAGCCAGAGACATGTTGAATTCAGTTTCTGGAATTACATGTGGCCTTTTCTATGGTGGAAATACAACACTCTCGGAGCGCGCGCGCGCGGGTGACCATGGTCACCCGCACGCGCGGGCGACACGTGTCACCGTCGGCCTCTCCAAAGAGCCACAGCACTTTTCAATTCAGCTTATGAAATCAAAATCAATTTCGAAAAATTGAAATGAAAATATCTGACGAATACTACCCTCCTCTTTTCCACGACAGCATTAGCGCTGGAATACTGTACAACAGTATGCCCTAGGCTAAACACCATCCTCCTCCCCTCCTCCTCCCCTCCTCTCGCCGTCTTGGCTGTTTTCCTGTAGCTTGCCGAAGCTTAACAGGGGGTCCTGGCTACATGTTGGGGCAAGAGGGATTCTCGGGCCACTTTCCCGTCCGCGCCCCCGATGATGATGATGGTAATCATGATGGTGATGATGGTGATGATGATGATGATGGCGGCGGTGACGGTGATGGTGGTGACGGCGATGATGATGATGGTGATGGTGATGATGGTGATGGCGTGACGATGACGACGGTGATGATGATGATGGCGATGATGATGACGGTGATGATGATCACGCCCTTCTTCCACAGATCCGCATCGCGCAGTTGCTTCACTCAATCGAGGACGTTGTGGTTTCAGGCGTGTCCCCGACGATGTCGATGGGAACGCTGACCACGCATGCATAAAAACTTAAATATTGCAGCTCGTGAGTTCGCAACCACGGCCACTGCCATTTACAAAATTGAGGACAAAGCTGAAGTCGGCGCATCCGTCGGCCTCGTTAAAGAGCCACAGAAATTTCGAAGTCAGTTGTTGGATTTACATGTCGACTTTTCTATTGTGGACAATACAGGACCCCTCAACGCGCGCGCGCGCGGGCGACCATGGTCACCCGCGCGCGGGGGTGACCCGGCCAACGCGCGGGTCACCCGAAATCCGCTCGGTCACTGTTAAGGGTTCATTTGCATTTCCAAGCCAACATTACGACTTTTATATTGTGGAGGGTACAGAAAGCAGCGCATCCGTCGGCCTCCTGGAGCCGCACCGCAGAAATTTTGAATTCATTTTTTGGATTTACACGTCGACTTTCCGATTGAACAATACACAACTCCTCAACGCGCGCGCGCGGATGACGACGGTCACCCGCGCGCGGGGGGTGACCCGGCCATCGCGCGGGTCACCCAACATCCGTTCGGTCATTGTTAAGGTGTCATTTGGATTTCCAGGCCAACATGACGACTTTTTTTTTGCGGACAACACAGAAGTCGGCGCATCCGTCGGCCTCCTTATAGAGCCACAGAAAATTTGAAGTCAGTTTTTGGATTTACATGTCAACTTTTCTATTGTGGACAATACAAGACTCCTCAACGCGCGCGCGCGCGGGTGACCATGGTCAGCGCGGGGGTGGCCCGGCCACCGCGCGGGTCACCCTATTGTCCACAATAGAAAAGTCGTCATGTTGGCTTGGAAATCCAAATGAACCCTCAACAGTGACCGAATGGATTTCGGGTGACCCGCGTGGTGGCCGGGTCACCCCCGCGCGCGGGTGACCATGGTCACCCGCGCGCGCGGACGCGCGCGTGGAGGAGTCCTGTATTGTCCACAATAGAAAAGTCGACATGTAAATCCAACAACTGACTTCAAATTTTCTGTGGCTCTTTAGGGGGGCCGACGGATGCGCCGACTTCTGTTTTGTCCACAATAGAAACGTCTGCATGTGTTTCCAAAAACAACATTCAAGATTTCTGTTGCCTTTTATTATGGAGGCCGACACATTTGACAACATGGGCAAGCTATGGAAAGGCGCCCATGTTGGTGATGTCGAAGCGACCAATATAGGTTCCGGCGGGGAACCATACATTCCCGAAGGGAATCCATAGATTCCCGCAGGGAATCCCATAGATTCCCGCAGGGAACCCATCGATTCCCGAAAGGGACCCCATAGATTCCCGAGGGGCGCGCGCGTTGGAGTTCTGTATTGTCCACAGTCGAAAAGCCGCCATGTTGGCCTGGAAACTGAAGTGAACCCTTAGCGGTGACCAAGCGGATTTCGGGTGACCCGCGCGCGCGCGCGGGTCCGGGTCACCCGCGCGCGCGCGCGAGCGCGCGCGCGCTGGAGTATTGTATTGCCCACAATAGAAAAGTCTACATGGAATTACAGAAACTGGATTTGAAATGTTTGTAGCTCTTTAAGGAGGCCGACTGCGACACGTGTCTCTGGAAACAGGCCCATGTTGGTGATGTCGAAGCGACCAATGTAGGTTTCGGCGGGGAACCCATGCATTCCCGAAGGGAATCCATAGATTCCCGCAGGGAATCCCATATATTCCCGAAGGGAACCCATCGATTCCCGAAAGGGAACCCATAAAATTCCAAAGGGCGCGCGCGCGCGTTGGAGTCTTGTATTGTCCACAATCGAAAAGCCGCCATGTTGGTCTGGAAATTGAAGTGAACCTTTAACGGTAACCAGGCGGATTTCGGGTGACCCGCGCGCGTGCGGGTCGGGGTCACCCGCGCGTGCGGGTGACTATGGTCACCCGCGCGCGGGTGCGTTGAAGTATTGTATTGTCCACGATAGAAAAATTTACATGTCATTGCAGAAACTGAATTTGAAATTTCTGGAGCTCTTTCAAGAGGCCGACGGTGACACGTGTCACCCGCGCGCGCGGGTGAACATGGTCACCCGCGCGCGCGCTGGAGTTTTGTATTGTCCACAATAGAAACGTCTACATATAATTCTAAAAACTGAATTAAAGTTTCCTGTGGCTCTTTTTAAGGAGGCCGACGGTGACACCTGTCACCCGCACGTGCGCGCGCGCGTTGGAGTTCTGTATAGTCCACAAAAGAAAAGTCGACATGTAATTCCAAAACCTGAATTCAATATTCCTGTGGCTCTGTAAGGAGGCCGACGGTGACACGTGTCACCCGCGCGCGCGCGAGGAGTTCTGTATTATCCACAGTAGAAAAGTCGCAATGTAATTCCAAACATTGGATTCAAAAATTCTGTGGCTCTTCAAGGAGGCTGACGGACGCGCCGACTTCTCTGTTGTGAACAATGCATAACTCCCCGCGCGCGCGGGGAATTATGTATTGTCCTCCTTCTCCTCCTCCGCCTCGTCGTCGTC